TACTTCAGTTTCATTCCGATTTATTGCAGTAAATAAAGGGACGGTACCAATTCTACCATTTATAAAATACAATCTTTGTTTTTGTACTGTTTTGAATAATCCAGCAATAATCTGATATTATTATTAGAGGATATTTCACGGCTCACAACCGCGATGAATGGGTAGAACAGTTGTGGTGCATTAATAAAGTCCACTTGCATGTATATGCACGCTTAGATGTTATTTAGCGATATAATTCTCTCATGCACTCTGTAGATACATAACGCAACCGTTAAATTTAGATCTTGACCCGAGTTTAACAAATGTGTGTTATTAACACAATTATCTGTTTTACAGGAGTGCTGAATAAAGGAATTGCTCCATGATATGCTTGGAGTTACATTGCATGACAGAATTCAAAGTGTGGGTATCTGTAAAAGAACCAAAGTGACTAACATAGCCCGAATTATAAGCAAGGTGAAGTGGTAATGGGCTGGTCAAATAGCTCGAAGAATCGACAAAGAATATATGATAGCTTTTAATACGAGCATATCTTCTGAGATCTAACCACTTTATACAGGGGGAAAGGGATTGTTAGTAATGGAGACTGAGAATCCCATTGCTAGCAATATACCCAACCAGGTCGACCTCCTCGCGGTTCTCCCTGGAAACTATCATGGTTAATTCCTGATGAATTCATCATGATGGGCTAACTGACCTGTTTCATCCTCACCTATCATCCTTCACTGGTGTCCCGCCGGTGTATACCGATAGCGCGAGTGGGGTTACCATTCCATTATCACCCATTAAAAAAAAACCTTGAGAATCCAGAAGGAGAAAGTCTCTATAGGGTTTGTGGCATTATGTTTTTATTAAATTAATTTGTTTGTTATTTAGCATATTGTCTTAATTTGTTACAAAGTGATAAAATACTTCAATACCTAAGATAGGTTTGTAAGATGTCTCTATACTTTGTAAATATTTCTAATAGACATCACTTTTATTTTTATGCTTAATTCTTCTGAATTAAGCATAAAAATAAAACCGTATTTTTCGTGTCGTGGTTTAGTTTATAATAACCTAATAATAAAATGATCTACTAACTGTAATACTTTCATAGAAATAAATTACATACACTTATTCATACTAAGAGTTCAATGGATTGTTAATTACGAGAAATAAATTAGCTAAAGCGAATAAGTATTGCTCACATCTCTCCACTCGTAATGTGCTAATTGTTCAAATTCTACATTTACGTTTAGATACGTTTTGGTACATAACGCTACACACACACATCTACTATATATATTACTATATACTACACATTTATTCAAAACTAAATTGATCAAATTTCATTCTTTACCAATTATGTATTATAAATTTCATGCTTATAGTTAAAACAAGCTACACTTGTTGGGTACCAACTAGTATTCTGTATTTTTTTTTATGGGTGAAAATGGTATGGTAACCCCGCCTGCGCTAACGGGATACGCTGACGGAGCACCAGTGAAGGGTGATAGATGAGAATGAAAACAGGCCAGTTAGTTCATCATGATGAATTCATCAGGAATTAACCATGATAGTTTCCAGGGGGAACCGCGAGGAGGTCGACCTGGTTGGGTATATTGCTAGCAATGGGATTCTCAGTCTCCATTACTAACAATCCCTTTCCCCCAGTATTCTGTATTATACAGCGTCAGGGATAAAGGGATTGCTAAAAATTGGAAAAAGACAGCACTTGTGCAGCACTAACTATATGCTTAACTAACTTAACTAGCCGCTAACTATATGCTTTCTCATCGCATTGGGTTGGCTGGAAGAGATTTCTTTTAGAGATAAGTCCACCTTAGGTCACAATATTTATAACTGTATTATATATGTTGAATTATCTATGAGGAGGTCCTGCTTAGGGTTAAGGAAAAAAGACAAATTATTAGAACTATTGAGGACAGAAGGGGAAAAATATTGGGACACTTGATACGACACGACGAACTTACGAACATTATAATAGAAGGTAAGATAGAAGGAAGGAGGGGGAGAGGGAGACCGAAACATAGTTACATCAGACAGATCAAGGAAGGAGATGGTGTCGTGTCGTATCAAGAGGTGAAGGGACTCGCTGAAAATCGTAGTGAGTGGCAATAGCTCCACCGACAAGAGCGTAGCTCTTAATATATATATATATATATATATATATATATATATATATATATATATATATATATATATATATATATATATATATATATATATATATATATATATGTAATTTACAAGTACAATAAAGAATATACATATATTAAGATATTTGCTTCAATATATTTATACATGTATAAATACCAAAAAATATAATAATTATTAAGGTCATATAATTACAATAATATAAAGGTCCCGATAGGTGAGCAAAGATCTCTACACAATGGGGGCCTACGGACGGACAACGTCACCTAGACAGGCCTAGGAAGCGATGACATGACGACCTAGTTGAATTTAAAAGGGACTGGTTGGAGATATAGCAAGACAGGAAATTTTGGATGGAAATTTGGGAGAAATTTGCCTAGTAATGGGACATTATGAGCTAATAACATACAAGTCCAATTAATACGTACACAAGTTGATGTGTGCCGCAATACAAAATGTCTTATAGCTGTTGCAGTAATTCATTTATGAAAGCTACTTTCAGACATACAAATTTGTGTGTCCTTGACCAACGTTTCAGATGTCCGTTCAATTTTTATTCATAGTCTGCTTCTTCTATTACTGTGGAGTATTGGCGTCATATATCGACTGGCTACCGTCTCTCATTTGCTAGGTACTGGTAAATGTCAAAGTGTCAGGTTGACGGTCCAGCACACCGAAATAGATGTTGCCTACCGGCCGCTGATGTTTTGGTTTTGTTTTGTGAAAGAGTTATGTGCGTCGTACATTATGATTATCTAAATACGTATTAGGGACTAGCCACTATCAATTTACTTGTATCTATCACCAGAGGGAGACTTTGTACAAAAGTCGTTTGCTTGGATACGCATTCGTGTTTCAACCGTGAAGCAGTTGTGTTTGCATGGCTGTGTTTCGGTTTGAAGGTTTCGACCACAATCTAAATGTGCCTATGGGCAAATAAAAGCACTATATAATCATTTCTATATGAAAATAAAATAATAAGAAGAAAAATAAATACTTTTCACAGACAAGAGTTTAGTAATCCCGGTAGTGTACCTATAGGTATTTCGTAGGACAAACGTGGACGCCAAATATTTGCTGTCTGGTAGGTTCGTTTGTACATTTACGTTAGACGGACGTTGGACATTTACGTTTTTTCAAACGAGATTGATTCGTTTTGTTTGAAACATTCTATAATGCACATCGTCGGTGAAGTTCTAAAAATTCGTAAGTGACTTTTTTACAGTTTTTTTCTTTACCACGAAGGTGACAACCAAGCATACAGCCCGTCTGATGGTAAACGGTCACTGTAGCCTATGGACGCCTGCAGCAATAGGGATGTCACGTTCGCGTTGCCGAACCTGATGAAACCATAATCTCTATTTTGATCTCTAGGGAAAACCTTGGCAGGGAATGCATACCACAGCCTGCGCATTCGAGGGAGGAAATTCCTTTGAAACCGCACTATTCTTGACCGTTTAGGTTCAAGCGTGTGAGAATTAATTTGATTTGATTCAAATGCTAAAACTAGTGCGTATCACCTGAACTAATTGGAAATCTAGATTTAAAACAAGTAGCTTATTATGTAATTTATCGTTAAAAAAAAATATGCAATTCATAGAATAAACAGAATTAGATATTTTATTTAATTTTCTTTTACTCTCCCGCAAAGTGTTAAATTTTCACTTTACGCACTGTTAGAATTTTGATGACCGTCCATTGTGGTATCGCTCATACCAGTCAGATAGCTATATTCATTACGAGCGGTTTTTTCTTTTCGATATTATATATATAAAAATGGATGATAATGGTATGATAACCCCGCCTGCGCTATCGGTCGGCATACACTGGTGGGGCACCAGTGAGAGGTGATAGATGAGTATGAAAGCAAATCAGTTAGCCCATTGTGACGTATGCAAGAAGTATTAATCACAATGGTTTCCGTGGGGAACCGCGTGGAGGTCGACCTAACAAGGCTTGCTGGCAATGAGGCCATTACTCCACGTTACTAACAATCCTCCCCCCCCCCCCCGATATTATATATTGGATAATCGACCAGCCACCACTAGATAATTCTAAGGTGGGCACAGTACCGTTTGTACCCGCTTATATACCCTTACGGATCACTTTAAATTGTTTCCCGATTGAATTGTTGCCGCTCAAGAATTGGCATCGATAACTTTTTTTAAACGTACTATAAAAATGTGACTTATTAAACTATGTTTTTAGATGGACAAAAATAACCGTTCGCATTTGATTTGACGCTAATCTATCGCACATTGAAGTTTTAATCTAGGTATTAAATATTCTACTTTGGAATTTTGGCAGTATTCCATATTGATTTTCCTTCGTAAGTTCGTGGTTTTTTTTTAATGCTGATAATGGAATAGTAACGCCACCCGCGCTATCGGTATACACCGGCGGGACACCAGTGAAGGATGATAGGTGAAGATGAAACAGGTCAGTTAGCCCATCGTGACGAATTCAACAAGAATTGCTCACGATGGTTTCGGGGGGGAACCACGTGGAGGTCGACCTAATAAGGTATATTGCTAGCAATGGGGCTGTCAAACTCCATTGCTAACAATCCTTTTCCCCCCTGTAAGTTCGTGGTTGTAATGCTATATGAGGTAGTCAGAGACGTTGGTAAACTGTTGCCGTTGAAGTGAGTACTCGACATTAAACTTTATTTGAAATTTATGCATTTTTTCCTAACACCGCTAAATTAAAAAATAACTTAAAATAATACTTATGTTGATATTTTACTATACGAATATATTAAATAATTAATTAACATAAGTAAACAAATACTAACATTAAAAGGTGTTATTTTATAAAGAACTAGCAATTCGAAGACTTACCTCATCACAAGCATGACACCTCGGTTTCAAGCGTTCCGCATAATGTCGTACGCAGTATAAGCCACCATCTAGAGCGCAATATGCTAGCTCCACCAACAGCTCACCACATTCCGTGCATGAGAAACAAGCAGGATGGTATGATGCCTGAAAGAAAACTTAAATTTATTTACAGTTAAGCTTAGTTTCTTTTTCTTAAATAAACGCCATCTACTGACAAATAGCTGAAGTTCAATATGTTACTAGTATATTGTAAAATGTAAGAGATGGCGCTATAATTTACTTTCTGTACCTCTTCACTAATTCGCGGCGCTTGAACAGCAATACTTCCACTGCGGATAGGTTTATCACATCCCAAGCAATCTATTGGCGTACCGTGATGTTGATATGCGGTACCTAAAATAAAAAAAATAACGATAATTATTTATTTAAATAACATATGACAGTAATGAAGTACGTCTGCTTAACAATAGATGGCACTGCTTACCAATATCCAGAGCAATTTCGTTTCGCGCGGCAACAAAATCTTCAAATTGTTTTCTGTGACCATCATCAATATGTCGGCAATGTGCTAAAGAGAGATCTTGTTTTGGTAATTGAGAGGCTAACGATCTAGTTCTCCACGCATGCCAAGCTGCCGCACCAGTGGCGCCACCTACGCCAGTTGGAGCACGCTCGGCTAAGGCTGACCAGTAAAGCTCGGTCTGTGAAATAATATGAATGAAATAATTTATAATCAACAAAATAACAACAAGTAATAATCTCAGAAGAATGGTGAATGCGCAAGGGAGATTGTCAAAAGTATTCGTAGTCTGTCGTCTCATATAATTTCTGCAACGAATTATTTATTATTGTATTGCATGTTGTATTTCGATTTGGAAGGTTCCAGTACGATATTAAGTGAAATTATTAGTTACTCTGACTTACGTTTATCATATTCAAGAATCGCAAGCATTTATGTGCTGTAGTAACCATAAGGCGGAGCGTATGCTTGTTTGCCAATTTTGTCGTAGGTATAAAATAATTAATCACATGTCTATATGTATAAAATAGCTTGACCTATATTATTTTTAACACACAGCAAAAACTACTATGTCTAGAAAGCTGAAATTTGGAAACTAGGTTTATTTTATAACGTAAATATCCGCTGGGGGGGGGGGGGGGGAGTTATAGGATTGTTAGCGATAGTGCTTAACAGCCCAAATGCTAGCAATGTTACTAATCAGGTCGACCTCCACGTGGTTCCCCTGGAAACTATTGTGGTTACTTATCGTGGAATTCTACACGATGTGCTAACTGACCTGCTTTCATCGTCACCTATCATCTATCATTGGTACCCCGCCAGCGTATACCGTTAGCACAGGCGGGGTTACTATTGCATTATCACCCATTAAAAAAACAACATCCGCTAGGAATAGGTTTTTGAAAATTTCAACTTAGAGGGAAAACACGACACCATGTACGCAAAGCCATGGAAAACTAGTGTTTTACTTATTAAAGCGCTCGATTCTCTCAACCGAGTATCTAGTATGAGAGATAAGATTGTATTTGGAAACCCAGATTTTTATGTCTTAGTACTAGTTCACTTCTATTAAATTATATTTATATTGTAATTCCGGTCTATTTCTGTCTATGCAACGGGGAACGGCAATTAAGTTGACACTTCACCTGATGGAAAGTAATATCTGTCGCCTAAGAAATGAACTGCACTATGGACATCAGGGAATATATTGTGATGCCTATGCCTCATACACTGTGATGCCTATGCCTCATTCACTGTGATGCCTATGACTCATTTTTTTTTTCAAATTTTTAAAGTTAAATTTACTCTCTCACTAATATTATAAATGTGTGTTGGTGTGTTTGCTTGTTTGTTATGCCTTAGACAATTACTGTGGAATTTGATATACACATATATAGAATGAAGAAAATAATTTGATTTTTATCTCAGTCAAGTGAATAACGATTACTCATTTCCATCCAAAAGTTGCTTGAAAGAGATAGCTGTTAGCGATAAGGCCTTACATTGTTTTCTCAGTTGTAGTATTTTCTTGTAATTATTAGTATTTACAAGTATAATATTTTATTGTTGTAAGATTCTGGCATAGAATAGGTCACCCCTTCTCTTTCCTTGGGTGTCTATGGCGTCATATAAGAGGCGACTATGGAAGGGCGTGGAATGGGTAGCTGTATCTCTTTTAAAACATCTATATATATATATATATATATATATATATATATATATATATATATATACTACAACTATATACTATACTACTATAATCTCTATCTAACAATAATGAGTATCTACCTACCTGCCTATCTAATCTTTCTATCCACCTGTCTATTTCGGTTACGCGGGTAAAGCTAGTAAATTATAATGTATATAAAGACTCACCTGCTTGGCAGTGAGTCCCGGCGGGCTGTCATAACTGTGATGGTTGAGCCGCGTGTCTCTGAGGCCCAATCGCTCTCGGACCGAGCCCAACTCCTCGTGGTACACGGAGTGCGTGAGACGATCGCAGCCGCATGACTTGCACGTCTTTCTGTAAACAATGAAATACAAAACTTTAATCTTAACTATTATTGTTGAGATGGTTAGATTGAGAAATAGAGGATAACTTTTTATAAATCTTATTTTTTATTTTAAAACATATTTTAACAGTGTAAACGCAAATGACAAATAAAACCAGAGAGTGAATACAATATGGTTTGCGCGGGGTTCTTCTTAAAGCGATACTAGATGGCGGTACGTGTTCCCTTAACTAAGATAAAATTTACCTATATATTACAACAAATATATAATAAAATAGTAACTATAAATTGCCTGCACATGGGAGATATTTAGGAAATGAAACAATATGAGGGGTTGAAATAAGAGCAATAGAAAATAATAATTTTGAGATTTTTTCTGTCTTTATGTTTTGTCTATATCAATATATGTATGTCTATTTTTTGACCACCTTTAGAAAAAAGAAATGTCAAAGCTCCGTTATAATAAGCTATTAGCTATCCGCCTCGGCTTTGCACGGGTAGATAAACAATAATATATAGCTCTTTATTCGCAGAAAAAGTAAGTACTACATGTAAATTTTTAAAGTCGTCATAGTAATTTTTGAGTTACAAACAACTAAATACATAATAAAAATCAAACCTTTCCTCCATATAAATATTTTTTTTATGCAACTTATAATGGCAAACAAGCTGACGGTCCACCTGATGGAAAGTTGTAACCGTCGCTTATAGACATGAGCAGTACCATGGACATAACACAGTATACTGTTTCGCTCATGATACCCCCCATGTGTTACCATTCCTGAGGACTCGGGTGTTATTTCTATATACCCTGTAAATTCACTGCCATATTCCACCCTTCAAATCGGAACATAGCCATATAAACACAACTGCTTCACGGTTAAAACACGAATGGGACAGTGGTGCCCAATCAAACGATTTTTGTACAAAGTCTCCCTCTGTTATACTTGTATATAGATTAGTTGATATTAAATATAGCATCGTCATGTGGGTACTTAAGTGATTACATTTCAATGCGTCTCATCCCTAGTCTATATTTTCAGATCATACCACATTTATAACCTAGGACACAAGCCCAACCTTGACATTTAAGCTAATAATCCATTCCAGAGCTGAACGCCGCAAATAGCGTATGTGAACATTCATAACGCATGCATGGATGCATAAACGAGATCTAAAAATATCGCTAACAAGTTGCACATGAGCATGCGACAACAGGCGACAGCACTCTTGTCTCCTTATATAGATAGCTTGCATTTCCAAACAGGCAAAATGACCAACATTATTTACCTACATTCATGTCACAAAGCATCATGTATCTGAGGGTTTACTATGAAATGAAATTCCGGATTTTTCGGACTCGATTTCGTGTTTTAGTTAGTACCGAAATTTGCTCAATAAATGGAGCGTAATACAATATTTCATTCGTCATACATTTCACTACAATACTTTAATTCTAAAAGAACTATTGATGTAGGATTTATGATAATTTTTATTATTTATTTAAACGGTATGTATTGCGAATAATATAAAGTGCATTACTTTTAAACAAAGAATAATAATATATTATATGATAGAATGTATGTATTATGTAATTTTAACATTATATATGTGTTTCGTTCGGTCCCGAAATTTCAGAAAATATTTCATGGTAGGCCCTCTGTATCTTCACATCTTCACATAATTAAGACGTTTTTAATGAATCAGGATGGAGTAGTACACCTGGCTATGCTAACGGTACACAATGACAGGACACTTGTGGAGGATGAAATGACAAGAATGATAATCAGCAGGCCTATTCTTGAATCCAATATCGATATTAATCCAATCTAATGCCAATGACGATTTTGTACTGCACTCTTGAAACAACAATTAGGAATTAATATTGGGATTTGTTTGCAATGATGAATGATGGGGAAGAGGTTCTTAAATGGCGACTCCGTGCGAGTAAACACAGTGTCGGACAACCCCCCTCACTAGATGGAGAGGTGACTTAAAATGCATTGTAGGGAGTCAGTGGCTGCAGGTGGCTCAGGATCGTTCCTTATGGCAGTCATGGCAGTGATGATGGTGACGATTAAATTATTTTTATAAATCAGAATATATTTTGTATAAATATAATTGTGGTACCAGTTTTATTTTGCAAGCTGCGGCTATTGTTATTTGCATTAGACAACTCATTTATTGTGTGTGTGTTTACAGCTGGACATATGTGCTTATCAATGGAATGGAATCATCCAAGTTTTATTAATCTACGAGTAGTAAAGTAGATATGACCGGCTGACGGCCCACCTGGTGGTAGCGGTTAGTCATCGTAAATCGTATAATATGTCGCATATTTTTTTTCATTTTAAGTTTCACAACGTAAATTTTTGAGTTGGAAAAATTTTTGGAAATATTTTTTTTTATACAACTTAGAATGGCAAACAAGCTGACGACCCACCTGATGAAAAGTAGTAACCGTCGCCTATAGACATGAGCAGTACCATGGACATAACAGAATATACTGTTTCGCCCATGATATCCCCTCCCCCCCATGCGTTGCCATTCCTGAGGACTCAGGTGTTATTCCTCTGTACCCAGTAAATTCACGCCATATCCCACTCTTCAAACCGAAACACAGCCATGCAAACACAACTGCATCACGGTTGAAACACGAATGGGACAGAGGTACCCAAGCAATCGACTTTTGTACAGTCTCCCTCGAAAATAAAATTTGTGTAGAGTTTTTGGTATTTTTTTACTGTTTTGATTTCTGTTTTTTTTTTATACTACTTAGAATGGCAAACAAGCTGACGGCCCACCTGATGGAAAGTGGTAACTGTCACCTATAGACATGAGCAGTACTATGTACATAACAGAGTATACTGTTTCGCTTATGATACCTATTAATTAATGTATTAATAATATATGGGGAAATGTATGGGCGGTTATTTTTCACATTTAAATTTTCGAAGAAGTAAAGAACTGCATTTGACAGCGCTTGCGGTTGGCGGTCTTGATATATTATTACTTTTGGAGATTGTATTGTTGAATACAGCAAATGATTGAATAACGAATACGTTACCATAAGAACAAATAATTCTATAGTCCTTATTCTTATAACATTATTCTAAATAATTAATTTTTAGTCAGTTTCTTATTCACTAATTGCCATATTAGATAAATGAGTCACGGAGTGGTGACGGAGTAAGTCATCACTAGGCTCGTTTATATTTGCACCTATACCACGAAAAATTTTTGTTATTTTAAGTTTAATAATCAATTTCTGAGAGTTCCTTTGGGGGAAAGATGTTGTTAGTAATGGAGACTAAAAATCCCATTGCTAGCAATATACCTAACCAGGTCGACCTCCACGCGGTTCCCCCTGGAAACTATCATGATTATTTCCTGACGAATTCTTCATGATAGGCTAACTGGCCTGTTTTCATTTTCATCTATCACCCTTCACTGGTGCTCCGCCAGCGTATCCCGTTAGCGCAGGCAGAGTTACCAATCCATTTTCATTCACCAAAAACAAAAAAAAAAATAACACCTATAACACTTTCTTATCGCGATTACTCGTAGCGGGATGCGGGGGGGAAAAGGCAAAGCCACGCCCATATGTCCAAGGTTAAGAACAAATGAATCGCCTTAACAAAATCACTGCTTCCAAAACTGAATTCACGGTTTGTTTAATCTCCAATTTTTAACTGGATGTTTTAATGCATTATTTATTTGATGAGCACTTATCGTGTTAACTGAATCGGTCACGTCAATCATACGTGAATACAATCGGGAGCCATTGTGCGGCACTTTAGCATTTCAATATGAGACGCAAAGCCGGCAGAATGCTGCTTAGATAGGTACGGTGGTGTTCTGTTAAGAACTGATATATTCTTGCTAAGTCTTATTGCTTATGTACTCTATCTATCTCAGAGCGGTGGACTGTGATGGGGTGATAAATTATGACAAAATCAAACATTTTATAAGTAAATCTGTATAAAAAAAAGACAACTACAATAAGATGTAAAGGAGTTTGGATCGACGAGTCGCCAGCAATATAAATTTGGTATGTTTCTGGCCATGCCATTTTCACATATGTCATGTCTGTCAATCTCTTTTTGGCTCTTCACGCTATTGACCTTTCGCATCTTTGCAGGCAAAGGTAATGAGATCTTACAGTCCTATTGCTGGCAATATACTTATCAGGTCGAATTCTACACTGTTTACTCTGGAAACCATTGTGTTTTTTTTTGATGGGTGAAAATGGTATGGTAACCCCGCCTGTGCTAACGGTATACGCTGCCGGAGCACCAGTGAAGGGTGATAGATGAAAATGAGAACAGGCCAGTTACCCCATCATGATGAATTCATCAGAAATTAACCATGATAGTTTCCAGGGAGAACCGCGAGGAGATCGACCTGGTTGGGTATATTGCTAGCAATGGGATTCTCAGTCTCCATTACTAACAATCCCTTTCCCCCCAACCATTGTGGTTATTTCCTGGTGAATTTGTCACTCTGAGCCAACTGATTCAACTTTATTTTCAACTATTATTCATTCACTGGTGCTTTGTCAGCGTATAACGTAGCATAGGCCATGTTTCCATTCCATTTTTACCCCATTAAAAAAAAAACTCTTTGTTGTGTACAAAAGAGATGTATACAAGGAGTATTTATATAGAATGTGCATATACAAATAGCGGGCTTATCGCTAAAAGCAATCTCTTACAGACAACCTGGAAATATAACTATGAAAGGATAGCCGCTTAGCTGTGGAGACACCAGAAGTCTTGATAAACTTCAAATTTGATTATCTAAGTTTGTATTAATTTATCATTTGTCGATGAGTTTGTTATAAGTTCTCTTTAATTTGTTGACACAATTTATCAGTTTTATTATATCGTACAATATATATATATATATATATATATATATATATATATATATATATATATATATATATATATATATATATAAGTATTATGAGTAATGAATTTATAGGAAAAATTCTCGTATGATGATTTAT